TCTTATTAAGGGTTGTCCTTGGGATCAAGATCTGAGGGAAGGAGGGAAATAAGATTAAGCAGAGGAAAAGTCAAGTTGTGATGCAGGCCCAATAATTGCTGTAGCTGACCCCAAAGGGACTCTGGAGCAACAGTAACCCTTCAGAACAGTACCAAGTTGGGCCAAGGTGGACAGGTCTTTTTTACAACCACATCAATCAGCCATTAGACTGAGCCATCTCAGGAAAGGGTAGTAGCTGGAGCAAGGCAGCTTTTTGCAGCTGAAGTGGCTGAAGGGGCTGACAGTTAAAGGCATCTGCCAGCAGCATTCTGGCAGCCAGGTAACAAGTTCCGCAGGGGATCTGGACAGTGCTTCAATGTCTACAATGCTGGCTTTGAATCCTGGAAAAATGAACTCCTTTTATTGTTTTTGGCAACTTGCTTTTCAAAAATGTGAAGATTGGATGGGCATGGTGGTGCACACCTGTAACGCCAGCACTTAGGTGGCCAAGGAAGGAGAATCACTGAGAGTTCAAGGACAGCCTGGGTTACATAGTGAGATCAACGCCAGCTTGAACTACATATTCAGACCCTGTCTCAAAAAACCAACCAATCAATCAATAAAATGTGAAGATTTTTTCAGGCATATTCAAAAGTAGAGGCCACTGTGTTCTCCCTTGCATAGTGGCCCACCCTCATGCTACAGGGTGTAGTTCTTTTCCTACTTTTACTCTGTTCAAACTCTCTCTGCAGGGCCTGTTTGTTTTCCTACCTTTAATAAAACTTTGTTTATGCTTCAGGCCAGGAATTAGCCATTTCTGCAAGAATTCTTGATTCTCTCTTTTCTTTTTCCCTTAAATTAGTGGGGATTGAGCCTAGGGAGCACTGAGATACATTACCAGCTATTTATTTATTCTTTTTTTGTTTTTGAGACAAGTTCTCACAAAGTTGCCCAGGCTGGCCTAAAATTTATGATCCTCTTGCCTCAGCTTCCTGAGAAGCTGGGATCATAGGCATGCAACACCACATGCAATTCCTTGATTCTTATTAATAGAAAATAATTTTTAAAATAATTTTGTTGTTGTACAGTAATTTTAGATTTTCAGAAAAATTACAAAAATAGTACAGAGAGAGTCTAATACCCCATACTCAGTTTCACCTATTCTTAGTATTTTGCATTAGTATGGTACATTTTTCCCAATTAATGAACAAATATTAATCTATTACTATTAACTAAAGTCCTCTTTTTTTTTTTTTTTT